CATTCATTGCACATTTTATCGTATCGAAAAGGATCTCTCTGGGATCATTTTACTACAAACTCACTCTAATACACGTATAATGTAGTCCATTATGTATATCTATATCTATATTTTTTTAAAGTATCTTCTCAGGTAGCTGCTGCTAGACAAATGACTGACAAAAACACTTTGACTATTCTTGACTCTAGGACTTCTCAAGAAAATTAGTTTTCAACAGCATTTTGAAGTGTTAACGTGTAAATTATTTATTGCACAGTTCAAGTCAATCTAATTTGTTTTTGAGGATCTGGTTTATGCAAAATAGTTTATATATACTGTGCACTTGACAAGCAGTCATGCATTGATTTCATTTAATTTATGCATTATAGGTTGTGTTCGATAAACAAATCTCGTTTGGGTGTTGATAATCCTGTTTTAATTTTGAGTATAGAGCTAACATGGGATTAGTTTGTTTTGTTAAGGTTGTAAAATTTTGATGTTCAACATTTTTTTTGTGATAATTTTAATGATATGTTCGGATATTGAGTATGAAGTGAGATTAGTTGTTGTTTTTGTAATCAAAATTTTATACTGTAAAACTCAGAAATCAGTGTCAACGGCTTCAAAATGTGTGTGAATTTGCTCTCCAGTCATTATAATGGACAGTAGTAGCTAGATAATAAATTTTCAATATTTTGACACTCTCAATAGTCTGAATTAATGTTGTTCACTAACAATAGTTTTCCTTAAATGAAGTTTATTGAAAGGTTAGAATTAAAATGTCATTTTCAGATCTTTTATCAGTAGTATCTATTGGATTTTATTCATGGATTAGTAGTTTTCAGTGATTCTTTACAAGTATTAAAAAACCGTTCAAATATTGCTAATGAGATTTTAACGAGTGAGGATGCGCCAAACCACTGCACTCAAACCTAGACCTACAATTATAGTGGGATCCGAACCACTCCTTTGATGACATTTCTCCTTTAAGCCTACAAAGAAAGGCTGTGAGCCTCATTTCCAGTACATATGATTCGAAAAAGGACAAGTGAAAAATTTCTCATACTCAGTCTTGAACCCATGATCGCTGTGTCGGTAGTACACTAATTAGGTACCGGTGTATCAAACCATTCCACCACTGATCCACTTCAGCTCACAAGAAAGATACTTAGTATGATTAAAAAGTGTCAACAGTATCTTCAGAAAGTATGTTTCGGCTTTTAAACTCGATTTCTCTAAGGTCTATTTGAGGGTATGACTAGAGCTTATATTTTTGAACCCCAGTTCTTTTTTATGAAAGGCACAAAACCACTTAGACAATAGCTCAATGAAAAAAAAAATGATTTTTTGACGATTAAAGCAAGATCCACTGGGTTAAGCTATAACCAAAATACATTTTCTGATATTTTAACATCCAAGAATTCGAATAATCACAAAATATCAAATAGAACATCATTTAGATTGACTCACCATGAACATATTGTACCCTACACGAATTCAGTCTCAGGTGCACACATGACAACCCATCTCAAGCATATAATTATATTCATACAAATAATCGCCAAAATTGAATAAGAAAACAATTTCATTTTTGTTAAAGTTCTGAATATTTAGAATTTTATCATGTTATGAGAATCACTACCAAAGATTTATTGTATACAGCCCTCATGAGATATAAAAAAAATGAAAAAATTGGCAGAGAAAATAACACAAAAGAAAGGGAAAGCTCGCGCGGAAGAGAAGACTGAAATTATTCATGAATAAATTAAATTTTAATAAAGCTTTGTCGCGAGCACATTAAAAGCAAATTGTTTTTGTCGATGAGTGGTTATATTTCGAAAAGCGAGGGGGCTCAGTAGTGTGGGCATGTTTGTGGAATCAATTTAAAGTCAGTGTCGGTGATTGAAAATTTTGTTTTTATTTTGCCTGAAAATATCCGGTCTCTGAATTTTGTGAGACTACGGTTAGTCATGTTGCTTATTTTATTCATTGAATAACAATAATGCTTTATGTTTTTTTATACACTAGTTGACATACATTGACTGCCTTAAACTCACTTTATATTTTATAGTACTCGTCTTCCTTCTCCCTCTCTGCTGAGTTGGCTTTTACCATTAAAATTTTTTTAAGCTCTGAATAATAATGAGTCAGGGGATGCTTAAAGTTTTTTTCGGTGCGAGAGAATCTATATACATTGTAGCGATGAGTGAATGTATACACACTCACTTTTTTGATATTGATTTATTATTCAATTTGTTTGAATATAATGAAGTACTGCGCCTAAATAACAAAGTGAGTGAACGAGATTGTTTGAATGCTGTGTGTTGCTTTAACGTGTATACATGAGGAACCAATGAACGAAATTAATGAAATTTTTTTTTTCTTTCCTTTCTTCTGCTGATGTTGCTTCTGTTGTTGTTATTATTGTTATAAAAAGCTTACGCTTTCTCATCAATAACGCCACTTTATTTTACTTAAACCTCTGTTTGCGATAAATTCATTGATCGATTTCATCTTTTCTCATTCATTTCTGCTTTTTTTTTCCTTTTGAAAAGGACGAAGACAAAAGAGGGATTGTTTGCTTATGACGTCCATGATTAAAAACATGACGTGGTTGTAACATAATAAAGAATTTTTTTACATGGCGCTGAATTTGTGCCTCGTGTTGCGATTTTGATTGTTAATTCTTCATTTTTGCACCTCTTTGCTTGGATCACATAACTATAGTCCGAATCGCACACACATACTTTACTTTCTGGGACTTTTGCTTAACTTGGGTAGTACATTAGGATAAAAACGGTGCAAAAATGTTCAAATGCATGTAATGATCATTATGTCTGGCGACTTGATCATCAAAAAGTTATGATCTTGGTCATTTTATTGAGTCACAATTTCTAAAACATTAGATTCAAGAAATCACCCAAATAGCACAAGTCAGTTAATCGAATAAAAATCTTGAGCCAAGCTGGCATGGTGCTGGCTTCAACTTTAATCCAGCACCATCCCAGAGTCACACCGGCTAAATTCCGGATTTCTGATTGATTAACCACCTTGTGCCATTCGGGTTAACTTGTTAAAAAGAAATCTTTTACTGGAGACCCTGAGTGAAGACTACATTCTCATGATGTTGCTTTTCCATCGAACACATGGACTGAACTTTAAACTAATGATATTTACTTCTCAACTTTTAATTCAATTTGTCATTACTCAACCTTACAATTAATTATCAATTGTTTCTCTCAGGACCCTAATTCATAATTACTTTGTCAATTTCAAAAAAGGTCCCAAAATATTAAGCGCCTACGCTACCATTCCAGTCAAATAGAACAAAACCTGATCTATAATACTAGATATCATTTATGAACGACACCCCAAAAAAAAAGTTGTTGATATAAAAGGAAAAACTTTTTTTATGAGCGGAAACTGAATTGAGATGAAACAGAAAAAAAAACGTTGATAACTGATGGTTCTGTCTATCATGATTTCACGTGATTCTTCTTCCTATTACACTATAAATATTTCTATTCATCAGATAATTTGCTAAGAGCAAAGTTTTATATTCTATTCAATTTTCATTTGATGATATCAAATATCTCAATTTTTTTCATCTTCACATTGTTATCTTGATATGAAAATGTTGAGTATAATCAGGGAGAATCCACATGGAAATATGTAATTGAGAACTTTTCTGTTCAACAGTTACAGTTACAGATTGTTTTTCAGAATCAAAAGGTTGTGAATTTCAACAAAAAATATAAATTTAAAAAAAATTCGATTCACTGAAAAATCGTAAAGTTTTTGAAAGTTCATCTCGTGTGGAATCGCTTTTCCATGAATACATTTCTCTTCTACAATACGTAATGTGAGATATACACTCAGATAGCTTTCAAAAAAAAAAAGTTTTATGTAAACAGTTTGCTTTTCATGAAATTGCGAGTAAAAAAATTCTGCATTAAAAGTTCAAGAGTAGCAAAAAGTTTTCAGCATGAAATGTTTTGCATATTTTTCATTTGATATAACTAATAAATATGAATATTTCTATCTATAATATTAAACTTTATAGATGAATCTTTTATTATGTTGTCATGTCGAAATTTTCATATAAAATTTGTAAATAATAAAAAGGGATTATTATTGTTTAGAATATGCTTAATTGAGATGTATGAGGTTATTATTTGTCACGGTTATTCATTTCAAGTATTTAATGGTGCTTTAGGGAATTTTTTGGTTTAGAAACTTTAAATTAGCAGAATGGGGTTAACTCATTATTGAATAATGACTATGTTATGCGTAAAGAGGCTTGGGGACTACCGAATATTTAAGTTTTTGATACTCGGATTCAAGGAATATGTCAATATTTTCCTTGATTCAAAAATAATTATTCAGCATATCCCAAACAATTCTAATATCACATTTGTCATGTCGCGGTAAAGGCCTAAGTGGTAGAAGTTGGCCTTTCGTGCCAAAAGTCCTGGGTTCAATCCCAGGTCATGTCTAATTTTTCGAATCTCTTTTTCCATTTCACCGTTCTAGTTACAAAGCTCGGTTCGTGTGTTGGGTGTAGTATTGATATTTTGAAGGATATACTAGCATCTGCATGACTTTCTTACAGCATCTTGCGCACACGAATTGTGACTGGGTACATTGCAAGGTACATCAGGTCTTATGAAGTACTTGTATCTTTGCAATGTGCAGAGCTTGCATGGGGTTCGGATTTCACTATAAACTGTAGGTCTAAAGGGTTGTGGTACAATAGATTCTTTACAAATTGCATCGCAGTGCTTTCCGCTGAAAAGCTGGGCCCTTCACACATTATTGTTATTATTAATGTCACATTTTAAAGCTAAAAGAAACACGAATATCATGATTTCCTTTGCCTACCTTATATCTTTGGGGTTTGACTGCTTTTGCCTTACTATTTTATATCTCGCTCTTTCTCCACATTTAATTCGCATGCTCATTTTGGAACCAATTTGATCCTAGATCTAATCAATTTTTTTTCTTGTTTTATTTCATTGCAGTTCTTCTGAGTAGCCTGGCATATATCTATTGCAAGATAAATGAAAGAATAGTATTGGCAGGAAAGAAATCAACATTGGCGATATTACAGCAAGACAAGAATTTGATCTAGACACAAAATAGTCAATAAGAAGGAAAATACGAGGGGAGAATAGACAGAAAAGAATTGTCATATGAGGATATAAATATACATACGATATAAATACATAGCATATGAGCATATATATTACTCCATAGAAAATAAGACAAATAAGAAAATAATCTTTTATATTGTTATTTAAATGCTAAAGAAATATAGAGAAATGTCATCAAATACATATCAGAAAATTGCTTTGATCCTATTGGTCTTGTGCATAGTTAGTCCAATTGAAAGTCGCTATGAGAGCAAGGAGCGAAAACAGGAAAAGTCAATTGGATCACAACAAAGCATACAACCGCAATTAACAATTCAACAACAAGGAGTATTAAGTTTGTGCAAAAAGGATCGCACGCTTTCCTTCCTTTGCCACTGTACACCGGATGATGAAAGCATTAAAGCTCAAAAAGGTTTGTGTTTTAATTAAATTTATTTTGCGGTTTTAGTTTGCATGAATGTAATTTAATGTTTAAAATTTAATTATTCATAGACTTTACATTGCTTTACACACAAATTTCAATATTGTGATACTGTTAAAGGGTTGTGATGGATGGAAAGGATTTTTATTTTTTGGTCTGTGTCTGTTAGATATTGCCTTGTTCAGTCTGTAGCTTGTAGATGAGCTTTTCGACCAAAAAAGTCTTAAAACCAACATCATGTTCCTTGTGATTACAGCCTTTTCAAGCTAACTCTAGTTCCTCATATATGATTAACTTTAACTTGTCAAATTTAAAAATTATGATTTCTCATCATGTTGATTTCCCCTTGAGTGTATCTCAATCGGTATTAGTTTCGTAGAAAACCTCTAAAATTCAATTATTTCTATAGAAAGTCGAGTGTTTTAAAATGTAGATTAACAGTTTTCCAAATGAATAAATGACCTAATAGTCCAAATCGATCACAATCATCAATTACACTTAACCACGACATCATAGCATTAGAATTACTTTTCAAATATACATGACTTGTTTGTTCACACCTAAAATACGTCCTTACGTGACACTCAAAGTATTTGTTACTAAATAATTATCAGATGAAAATTAATTAATTACTTTATAATGTTCATTACAGCCGACTGTTGGATTATTAGTCAAAACATAACACGCAAGGATCAACAGTGGTTAGCATTTAACTCACAAACCCAGTTGCAGCATTTAAAGTTTTCAGTATTTGCAAATGGTAATTTAACGTTTGTGCCAACTGATATCCTTCAGCCATTGAAACATTTGCGAACGATAAACATCGAGTACGGGCACATCGACGAGATATACGGATATGCGTTTGGAAATTTAACGCAATTAATGAATATTTCATTGGCAAATAACCGCTTAAAAGTCATTGGTCAGAATGCATTCGCAAATCATCCACACTTACATGAAATCAATTTAGAGCGGAATGAACTTAAGGATATAAATCGACGAGCATTTGTAAATTTACAAAATCTAAATCGACTCAATTTCGATCATAATTTATTGGATGTGATACAAGATGACACGTTCGAAGTATTAGTAAAATTAAGTGAATTGTTATTATGCAATAACAGTATTAATAAATTGACACGAGGAATTTTCAAGGGACTGGGGAACTTAAAAGTTTTGAACTTGAGTCATAATAAACTCAGCATTATCGGCGATACCGTCTTTGCTGAATTGTGGAGCTTACAAGAATTGGAATTGGAGCATAATCAGATTGATGTAAGTACTTTCTCTTTATTTACTTTTTATTTCTCATCCCTCCTCATTAATTTGGTTTTCCACAACTTGTTCATCATGAAATGTGCAATAATAAAGTTTTAACAGTTATCTCATCCTTTGAGTTATCTCATCTCTCTCTCACTTTGTGCTTCTGTGGATAAAAGGGATGAAGAAAAAAATTATTTATTGCAATGAAATTAAAACTTTCTCATTTCAATTATGATGATTAAGTATTTTTCTTTTTTACTCTACTTATTTCTTCGTTTTCTTAAAAAGTGATCTCCTTTTTTTTATTCTTGCTAATTTAGATGCGGAAGTTGTTTAAATGCTTTTTAATTGTTTTGTATTATAAGGTTTTCTTCTTTTTCTTCTCTGCTATTTTTTGCTTATTTCGCTTGCTTCCTTGATTTACATTAATCCTTAAAAGTGAGATATTGCGGATGCAAAAATAGTTGAATTTCTTTTGGATTATTGTCTTGTTTGAAAGCATTAAAATATAAAAAAGTTTTTAGGGGTGTTCTTTCAATGAGAATAGATCGAGAAACTTTATCTTTTAATTAGAAGAACTGAAATGCAGTGTTGTTAAACGTAAGTTTAGATATGGCTTGAAGAGCATATCTGTAGTAGATAGGCCTGAGCATAAGGCTCGCAATTAAACTAGTTGTATATGGATGATAGATAGCCGAAGTGAGATAAGTACCTCGGTGGCCGAGTGGCAGGGATCTCTGATCGAGTGGTGAGCCTCTTTTGAGGTCGTGGGTTCGATTCCCATCAAACCCGACTTGTTTTACACATCTGGCAGTTACATGACGGTCTACAGGAAGTTATGCAAATCGCAGATAGTCACTTTTGACATTAGACTGATACGAACAATTCAAGAGTTTCGACCGTTACAGTTTCCAAGAAGATTTGTAAAAATTTCTTTTTTGTCTGTCTGCCATGCAAAATTCGAAGATTCATACCCTTCAGTTCGAAATTTTCGAAAATTAGGAAAAAATAAAAACTTAAATTATGCAAGTTTTTAATGAATTTTAAATGAAAATATTATTTTATCATTTAATAATAAGCATAATATAGCTAAATCTGTTTTCAAAACTATCAAAAACTTGAAAAAAAATGACCAAAACTTGTAACGGTTTTTCAAATTTAAATTTTTCGAACGTGCATATTAAAACACCCCTAGACTTTCGATAAGTCTGTCGAACATGAATTGAACGTATCAGACATTAGATTTAAAATTCTTATGCATTAATGCACAGCCTTGTCTAAGTCAGATTAATTTTGATTTATTCAACCTCGTCTTTCTTATTTTTCTTTATTGAACCACTTAGAGTAGTTCTTACATCTTAAATTGGATGAATTTTAGAAAACACAGCCTTATTTACGATGTGTGTTCGTTCGTCATACATGATGCATTCGTCATACATGAAAATGGGATTTTAAACCCCCTTTTAGTCATGTAATTTTCAAAGAAAAATTATTATTATAGTATCACACATCATCCGAAACTCCTCATCTCCAGAAGTCTCACATTTTTATAAACGTGCTTTAAACTCATTAAAAACCAACACTTGACGTACTTTTGCGCAGACATTAAAATTATTTTTTATAAATCATTTCAATTAGGAATGAAAAAAAGTTTATTGTCAGCGAATCAGAAAAAAAGTTCTTCGTTTTAAATCAAAAAGTTAAATTACAACGAGCTTAGTGGCCTGCATTCATTAAATAATTAGTGACATTGTAAAACAATGTTAAATTTTAATATTTTGGGGTCCGTCTACTTAGTTGCTATAGCAGCTTTATTTATTTTCCTCGGAGCTTAGCTAGGCAGACAACTCTAATTTCCTTTACATTGGCTTAAAAGATTAATTTTGACTAGGTGAGGTGCCTTGGATAACCCTTTAAAACTCGGACCCAAGACTGTTTTTATAACGATAGCTTGAGAGAACATAATTGATCTTCATTACCCCGAATCAAATTCAGTCTACTTATTTAGGACACATAATTTTAAATAAACAAGATAAATTTTATGTAAAGATTCATGCTCTGAGCTGCTCTGAGCTTACGAAAACATTTTAATTGTTATTCAAAAAAGTTTTCAAGATTTATAAATTTTACTAAAGTCCAACCTAGTCCTTTGGCTATTTAAAATCCCTTCTCATTACTTCAAACAATACTGTTTTGATTCCTTTTTTTCACTCACTTTTTCATAAATTCAGTAAACAAATCCTATCGATACGTTTGTCCAACAATTAAATATTAAAATATGTACATAAAACTTTTGATGCCCACATAGAGCCGATGGGCCATTTAATGGAAATAGAAATTTAAATCTTAAATATTTTTAATCTTACAGGAGCAAGATTGATGTAAATTTCATGTGAAAAAATGTAAACAAATCTTTGAATGAGAAAACTCGAGAACAGGAAATTCCATTAATTGTATTACATAAAGGAACGAAAGAATCATAGAAGTGAGAATAATTCATTGTTTGATTAAATCTGTCTAGTAATGCTTCAATTAGTCAAAGATAATTTGAATTGTAAAATCACTTCCCATCTTCTTCCTTCTGCATAATTTACTTGATTGCTTATTTTATTTGAAATGGTTATGCTGCAGTCTTTCCTGTGAGTTTTCGTTCCTTCTTTTTTTTTCGAAAGGTGATATTTTTTACATTTTGTCCATTATTCTGTCTGGTCTCGCAAAGAGATGTTAGATTGGCTTTATTTTTGGCAAGTTAACTTCTGTGACAGAGTAGAGTGGAGTCTGTGATATTAAACCATAGATAGGTGAATCTGACAGTGTAAGAGCAAAGCCTCTGCGGTCGAGTGGTAATGCAGCAGACCTTATAACTGTAACCTACTTTTGGCTTGTTTTCGATTCCCATCAGAGACCGATTTGTTGTCGATCATTATATAAAGCAGTGTTACTCAAACTTTTTTCCGCGGCACTCGTGTGCGCTTTATTTGCTTTCAAGGGGTATACAACTACGATCTAATTTATATTGATAAGCTGAAGCATCTGATCTGTAATAGGAAGAATAGGAACGAGTTGGGGAGTAAGAGGGTCTATGCACACAGTCTGTAGTCAGTAAATGCGCTACTGAACTAAATTAATATAGACATTTTTTGCTAGTTTTTTTTTTTTTGTTAAATTGTGAATTTTTCATCTCAACAAAATTTTTTTATATTTTTTTATTTTACTTCTTTTTGTCTTTTCCCTCATGCACATTCTATTATTGTGAGGATGATGAAGGGAAAGAGAAAGCAAAAAAATGGAAATGAAGGAAAAGGAGATGAGAAAGAAGTATACGGATTTTTTCTAATTAAATTTATCATGATAAAAGAAGAAAATTCATCTCAATTTCATTCAGCATAAGCAACAAGAAAGAAAAAAAAAAATATTTTTTCGCATGCAATCTTTTCATTTGACTGGAATAAAGAAAACTTTTCCTCTTCTTACAACTTCTCTTAACTTCTTGCTTTTAATTTTTTTTTGAAAGACAAAATTCATTCATCGTAAAAAAATCGTATTTAAAAAGTTTTTCGAATTAAAACTGTTTGTTGTTTACTTGATTAATTCAGATTTCAGTCAGGATAAGTTTTGTACTTTATTTCGTCTGACTTTTGAGCTAGAAATTTCTTTGATTTGAGAATCTCATTTCTTTTGAATCAAAAGTAAGTTTTTTTTGTTTTGGTGAGCTGAAGTGGCTCGACGTTGAAGTGGTTAAGTTGTTTAGTTCCTTGTTGTTGCAAAGTCGATATAAGGATTAAAGATGTGAGAGTCATCAGTAGAGGCTCATTTTCGCAACACAGAATACTACAGATTTTGCGCTTATGACGTCCGACATTTAGGGGGGGAGGGGGGTCTAGGATTTTGTGACAGTTCAAACAATGAAAATTTTTTTCTATAGAATTTTTGTGACAGAGGGGGGAGTGAACGACCATAAGTGAACGACCCCTTACCTTTGTTAAAAATTTGGCTTGGGGCTGCTCACTGTTGACATCGACCGAGGGAGGGAGGTCAGCAAGAAAAAAATCAATAAAAATTTCTGAATATCCTATCCATTGTTCTTTTTTGAAAAATCACGTCTTATTTCAAACGTCATAAGTGAACGATCCCATTATCAAAAATAATAAGATTAAAAACAATCTAAGCTCTACAAAAAAGGATGAAAATTTTTCTGTCAAGGGGGGGGGGGGGGGTTGTAAAAATTTTATTACTAAACCTAGTTTCTTATACTTACTATCAATTATGGTTTATGGTAGTTACAGTTATAAAAATAATAAAGAAATGACTTAAATTACATCGTAATTGTCGCTATTTTTAAAGCAATTTACAAAAGCATAGCACGTGGGCTATACAAAAAGAATCTCTGTAAGAACCCACACTTTCTTGTCAAACGCCTATTTCCAACACCGACTTTTGTGTCTATAAGCATTCTAAAAATAATCCATATGATAAATGATGCTACAAAATATGCTCTTACGTAATTACAAAAAGCATGTCTCATTGCAATACTACAAGGAATAAGCGTATATTCACGACACATCTTCATCTATCTAGACTCAATTATTTTAAAATATTTTCATTTCTCATGAGGGGAATTAAAACAAGAAAAAAAAATATTTTTAATGATGTAGCAAAAATGCCTCATCTGTGCTGTAAACTTTCTTTCTTTATCAAAATTTAATTAAAGTTATATCAATCATGCTTCTCAAAGTTACTGTACTTGTCAATTTTTTTTTTAGAATTTTATTTTCGTTAACCCATAAATTTGACGCATACTATCGTACCCTTATCATAAATTTTTATGATTTATCTTCTTTATTTTCATGATCATGAAGACAGAGCAAAATGAAAGCTGAATTTTATTTACATAAAAATTTCCAATTCTTTTATATTGACTAGTCCCCTTATTTATTTCGCATTATTCGAGAGAGAATAAAAAAAGTTATTCAAGCATAAATATTAATAAATAATTTTGTGGCGTTTTTGTATCATTGAAAAACATTTCGATAATTAAATTCAACTTTTTTTTAACATTCGGCTTTATTTTCGTATCGCACGGCAAAGTTCTGAGAGTAAACATCATAAATTTTCCAAATAGTAAGGGAATAACGAAGAAGTTATGTGAAAAGTGAAAAATTTGCATTTTTATGACTTCTTGATTAATACAAATTCATTGACAAATAAATAATAAAAAAAAAAACTTGTGTATAAATATATTATATGCATATATTAGGTATCTATTTTGCATATACACAAAAAAATTGTAAAGGAGTAGATCTAAGTGATATACGATAGAGATACAAAGCTGAACGAGTGAGAGAGAGAGGAAGGGTGTTGAAAAAATGAACTTATACAACATATAAAGTTGTTCATCGCATATACCATTTTTTTTTGCATAAGTTGAATATAAAATTAGCATACAGAGATGATAAGTAGTTTCTTTCTCACCAATAAATTTTCTCTTTTTCTCCCCCTTTTTTTTGCATATAGAAAATTTCTGAACGAGCATTTGATGGCTTGAATAACCTGCAACGACTCAATTTGGAGAATAACAATTTGAAATTGTTAGAACGTGGCCTCTTTACTGGTGTACCAGCACTGATTTATTTAAATCTGATGAAAAATTCATTAGAAACAATAACATACAACAACATTTTGCCGTTAATGGATAATTTGGTGAATAACACGAACAGCATTTTGGACATAACAGGTGCGTTAAATGTAATGGTGATTTATAAAATGCGGGTAATAGGTATTTATGACTTCCGTTTCTCCCGACCTCCACGCCAACGCAACATTTGGTTGATGGTTTTAGGAATAAGTACCATCACGATTTAATGCGTCATAATCAGCGACGTCAATTAATTTGTGTGAACCTTAAAAATGTGGTAGACGGAGACAGGCAAAAATTTTAATCGCTTTTCGGTGTCTCCTCATTTCATTTCTGCTTTTATTTGTTCGCCTTATTTATTCCTTTTAACGACGAAATGACAATTTTCCATTAAATATAATGAATGTCGAGCAATAATTACTTTTCTCTGACTTAATCCAAACTAAAAATGAGATACGGAATGAAGAAAAAAAATGGTTGTCATTTCCTGATTTCAGCTAATCTTTTAATGCCCATTTATATTTATTAAGACCGAATTTTTCTCCTCTTATGTACATATCCATCTATACGATCAGGGGTGTAGTCAGAACTATTTTTAAGGACATAAATAAGGAAGTCAATTTTTGGTAACATAGAGGAATACTTTTAAAAAGAATATTGTATTAATCTCTTGTAGCTGACTTACTCAAGATTTCTCTAAATGTCTCTAGATGTTTTTGACATTCTTTGGCATCTTGAGATGTCTAATGACTACACTAGCTTCAACTTAGAATACCTAGATTTTTTCAGACGACTTTAAGTGACTTCAAACAACAAAATTAATTACAAGTGAACAAACCAAAAAGAAATTTAACTTTAAATACATCCCTAGCTACACTCCTGCATCCAATTTTCTTGACATTACTTGCGTGATGATGAAAAGTGATTGTAAATGACATAACAATTTTCATGAAGTTTAAGGCATTTCAACCATAACGCCCATATCATTTATTCTCGGTTTCACGATAATGCTTATCTTCTGCTTATTATTTTTTGCCATTTATGAAGTACTACAGGTTATCATTTGATTAATGTAAATGATTTATGAGGAGATGTTTTGGAATTGACGGAAATCTCGATAGAATTAAGATTTTGTTGCAGACAAATTTCTTAGAACTAATTTTGTAGATATGGATGTTGAATTATTTAGTAATTCTAAGAAAATTATCAGATTCCCAACTCTGCAAAAAAAAATCCCCTTAGATTTACATCACCTAATCATCTGATGACTTCTGGTAGACAGTCTCATCATACAAATTTCTTTTTTGAAAACTAATTACTTCTGAGTGAAGTTCTTGACATTTTTGTGTAAGCAGAGCTGAGAGCAAGAAGAAAAATATGAAAATAAGAAAGTTGAGGGAAAATATTTGTTCTCATCTTCGCATTTTTAGTAAATAATATGCTTAGTAATGTCACCCACAATACCGAGTATTTTCTAAAAATTCCGTTCTTAATTTTCATTAAGCACGTCAAGTGTTTTTTAATTTCAAGTTTGAAAAGAAAATTTTTATGACAATCAAAAGTTTCTGCTTGTTTCTTCATTTAAGACATCTCGTGAGCCACTCTTAAACGGTTCATAATTATACTTTTGTACACCCGAGAATTTAATTTAATTAAACATTCATATAAAATGTGAAAATCACACGAGAGAAAAGTTTTTTCACTGGAAATCGAGGGTATTGTACTTACTTTGATGTTCATTACTTCGCCATTCGCACATATGCGCTTAGCTTTCCTCAAGCGTAATTGATATAAATTATTTTAATACACTCGGGATAAGATTGTGCTGTATAATTTTTCATACAGCATGAACAGAATTATTTAATACACTCGTGAACTCACTTTTGAGTGAAAATAAAAATAAAAATATTCTCGTACTCATTAATAAATTTACTTTTTTTTCCTTTCAATGACAGTAGCTTCTCTGGTTTCATTTTGAAATTGGAAAACTTTCATTAACAATTTTATTCAAGCACCTTTTTTTTCAAAAAGAGGAATTGAGTGTTTTTGAATATTGTCTGTTTTGTAACTAGAAACTTTAAATTTTTAATTACTTTTATGTGAATTCAATTTTTTAAACTTTTCAACTATTTTATTCATATGTTAAGCTCAAATTGGAACAAAGTCTCTAATTTTGAGTTAATTCTTATTTAGAAGTTCATTTTTGAGTTAAGCTGTATTCAAAATTTCATCTAGAGCTCAACAATAAACCTTGTCCTAGAAATTATTAAAAAGATTCTCCTCCTCAGTTTTCAAAAATTTCTTCTGGCAACCCTTCTGGAAGAATTGCTCCCATTTAATGTAAAGGTTTTTGAAAAACTGTTCATTTTTATTTTAAACCTTAAGTTATATTATCTCAAGTCCTAAACTTTCTGAAAATGCCAATCTCATATTAAAGCAAAAGTTTAAATTTGAGTTGCGTCAAAGCCTACATTCTTGATAAAACAAACCAATCCCAAGCATGAGTTTGATTGAGTTTCAAACCTACAGATTTATAAAATTCTTGTTAGACCTGTCTCAAAATTTTTTTAGAAATGCCCTTAAGTAAGCCTTTCTTGCAAACAATCCAAAGCTTTTATTTTCTAAAAATAACATGCAATGGACATAATTTCTATTTATTTATTCAGTAAATTCAAGACAAAGAAAAAGAATCTCAAAGCTACGACTAGAATGCATGCTGAGCTTATTTACAATCATTCTAAATTTAGATTCTGGTAAGACATCAAGAATCCTCATTAAACATTCAAAAGCGCTAAAGTCGTTCCATAAACACAGCGCCATTTCCAGCTTTTCAAAATCACAAGCAGCACAACAAGAAGAAATTTAATTTAAGTACAGAAATTTTATTCCTTGAAAAAGATAATTAATTAATTTTGAAACCGCATCTCATTGGAAATGTCTATGTTGTTGTATTGGCTGCTCATTTCACTGTTTAATTTATGTCAATAAAGCCCCATATTCTTTTTTTTTTCATTAAAGTATAGACAGATTTTTTTGGTTATCATTAAGCAAATTTTTTTGCTTCATTTTAATTAAAATTACTTTTTTGCCACCCCCCAAACCTACACCACAAACTCCTCGTTGTTGCTTCTTTTTTTTCACGCGCACATTTCATCTCACCAGAAAATCCTCGTGAGAAAAAGAAAAAAGTAAATTTCAAATGCAAACTTTGAACTTAATTAAAGCCTAATTTTTGGGCAAAGAGTGTAAATTAAATTCGTAATAACGAAAAATGAAATGAAATCAGTGTGAGACATAAGCGAGTGAATACATAAAAAAAATGTGATGCGTGCTTAAAATTCATGAGTTATAAATTTTAATTCTCATCATCATAACAATTTTTTTTTTCCTTTGAAGGAAGGGATTTTTTTTTTGCTTTAAACAGCAACCAAAAAGGTTCACATGAAAGGAATATTTTTAAGAGAAGTCTAAAGCCGACGTGCTGCTTTGATATTCATATATGTATTTGTAATCTTAAGCTTATTTTCATTTTCTCTTTTTCTTGTCTTTTTCTCTCTTTTAAAATAAACAGAAAATGATTTCATCTGTGACTGTCGAATGACGTGGCTAATCGAATTGAAGAATCAAACGAAAAATGAGGACCTTCGAACCGCACTTGACGATATAGAATGTTTACTAAAAAAGCCAAAGGATCCATACCACAAGACAAATAGGATTGACCATAACACTATTGAGCATCCAAACATTCATGTAGAAGAGGACGAACCTGAGTATTATGATGATGAGCCAGATGGTAAAACAGTAAGGCTAATGCAATTAAAGCCATCGAATTTGACATGTCCGGAAGAGATGAGTGATCCCACAGAGCTGCCACTATCGAGAGAGTCGATTGGCTTTGACATGAGTTGGGTTAAAGTTGTTGCATCGTCAAGATCGTCAAGTAGTCTGCCAGTTTCAATTAGTCGCCTCCTTCTCATCCTTCTAGCCTCGACAAGCATTTTTAAATTCTGCTGAATAATTTAATGAGCGAATGAAAAACATACACAAATGAGAAACTTAAATTTAATTTAAAAATCTTCTTCTTTACTTCTCTTTACTTTCTCATCCTCTTACTCATTTTCATTTTTATCATCAACGTCTCTCACTCCCTCACTTTTCATTGTTTAATTTGCATTTTCTTGAGTTAAATATATATTTTATTTTTTATTCTCTCTTATTTTATCTGTGTGTGCTTACTAAAGAATAGAAATGATGCAGGAAAGGACTACAAAGTCTTCTTGATATTTTCCTTTTGCATTTCCCACAATTTTTCACTCTCTCCATTCTTGACTTATATAAAACAATTTTCAAGTTTCCCCTTTCATCAACTTTATCATCATAAAAGTCTATGTTGGAAGCGAAATAAAAAAATAATGTAAATAAAATCCAAAGATAAGCAGATATATTTCGTTTCCTTCTCCGTTATCTCATACAATAATTTTTAATTTTATGTCCGAATAGCTTTTCTAGAATTAAAAAGAAATCTTAAAGAGAGTTTGCTGTGCTTTAAGATATCCTCAAAAAAAAATCGTCATGGAATTGAATGATGAGTTTTTGTCCCAATTTGTAGATTCTATAGAAATGTAACCTAAATCTCGTATCTCGGTAATCCTTTTTTTGTTTTGAGGCAATTCTTCTTCTAATTTCTATATGCAAATTTTTGTGTCATCTGAAAATCGATTTTTTTTTTCTATAGTCATTCTTCATGAGAATTTGTTCAAACTTCAATTTCCTATAAATTTTGTCTGTTCCTTTCTTTTTCGGAACTATTATGGAAATTACATGATGGGGAAAAAAGTTTTCTTGTCGATAACATTTTCTTGTTGCTTTCAGTTTGTTGAACTGATTTGGTAAAGCCATTAATTTGGAAATAAAAAGAACAAGTTGAAATTTGCATTTTTAAATGATAGTTAAGAAATTAGACGTTGATGTCTCAAAGTAAAGCAAAAAAGACATTTCAAATTAAACTTGCTGTATTGGAATAGTTTTTGTTCAATTCTAAATACTTTTTAAGTTTCTTGCAACAATTTTGGAATGATTCTTCAGAAAAGCGATTTATAGTGACGAGAGTTGTGTTTAAGTAATCGTATTCGGTTTAAGCAATATTAAAGAACAGCTCAAACAAAAATTTTAGAAGAGGATGCAGAAACTCTCGAGATCTTGCAGTTAAACTTGTGGTAACTGTTAACCACAGAAGCAGAATTAATAGTAAAGCAATAAACTAGTTATTGCTCTCTGCTTTAATCATAATAAGTTAAACAAAGGCAATCAAATTTCGATGACACTTAAAACTTGTTTGAATTTTCCAGAGCTGTTGAATTTAAAATTTCTATAGAAAATATGCCAAGGTTTCAAGAATACAATTAGTACAGTACACTCATCTCAATCTTTGTGGTTTAAATCACTAAGCACTTGATTTAAGAATTCTTTTTTTTCTAGAAAAGTATATTAAATTTTGAAGTAGTTTAGGATAACAAAAATAAAAAATAATAAATACACGTGCTCTGCTAGGAGAGGTCGGAAAATTGAATTAAATTATGTTTAATATAAAGGCAATGACCTATTGGCTTAGTACTGAAGAATATACTTAAAAGATAAGTGCAAACTTTATTCTTTTTTAAATAAAAATGACAAAAAAATAAGACATAAAATTCTAAAAAAAAATTCAAAAGAAATTTGTTTATACAAGAAAAACCAAAAATGGAAGTAAATGACACAAAAGATTCAATTTGCTACATTTTTTGAAATTTATGTCAACAAGATTTAATTTGGCTTTGACAATTTTAGTTAAACCAAGTTCCAGATAATACTCTTACATACATAACATATAAGCTATCATCCTTGATTGTAAATAAAAAATGTATTTGAGAGCTAAAATTTGTTTTCGTTGAGATGCAGTGTGATTGGACAAGTATGAGGAATCAAAGTCCTTTTATCATCTCAATGCAATCGATTTCATTAAGTTCATTGAATTTTTTATGACAGTCCAGCATGAAAATGAAAATGATTTTTTGCTCTCAAAAGGGAACCTTGTAATTTACAATTTTGCTAGATTTGGAGAATTTGCAGATGTGCTGAAACGGTCAAAATAAAGAATGAATAAATTGATTTTTATTCAGTCTGATTTTTTTCTTGACTGCTAAGTGGCATCTGCATTACAATTAGGTGCTTATCATGAGACTAAGCATGTCACTTATCAACAAAAAAAATGAATGGACGTTTCTCGAAATTCCTATCAAGTCAGTAAATTGCAAAACATCGTGTTGAATTTTTCAAATCTAGTAAGTTCCACTAAAATTGATAAAAACTGAAAAATGAGTAAAAACCAAGAAAAATTGTGACAAAATCAAAAGAATAATCAAGAAGAACGAATTTATAATAAATCATAATAAATAAATAAACACATAAAGGAACTCCAACCATCATTAAAATGAATGTTATTATTGCCGAAAAAAAAAAATCCGTGAGTTTTAAAAATGAAATTATCAACTAAAAAATTAACATATGTTAAGCAGCAAAAAGAGAAATGAGAAGGCGTAAAATATGTAAATAAGATAAAAGCCGTTATGAAGACTTACGTGTACCTTTCGCATTAAATGAAAACATAAAAAAAATATTAAATCGCATTATAATTTTCAGAAAAATAAATTATTGTGAGTTAAGATGAATAAACAAAATAATTTTTATAAATGAAACGTGGAAAAATTTTTCAAAAGAGGATTTTCTTTTAACGAGAATTTTCATTAACAAAGATTTTACGTTTTAATTTTTGTTAGAAAGATTTTCGTGTGGGTGATTTTGAAGCAGCTTTTAAGCCTTAAAAACTTGACAAAATAATTCAGAATAATCTTTAGAATCGGAGATAATCTTAGGTTCCGTGAATTTTGGTTGAAAACAATTTTTTCCTTCAAGATTAATTTCAGATGAAATTCTTCTTGACTGTTTTTGATGAACTTTTGTAAATGAAGCTAGAAATTTCATTTCTTTTAATTTGTATTTATCTGGCGATTTTATTAGTTCAGAGCAGATTTAACTCTGAATTCTCTTTATGATAAACGTACTTCTTGCTAAGAAACTCATACAACTGGATCTGCCTAGACCCAGACACACTGAAACCCAAACACATTGAGACAATTATCGTCAAAAATATCATTAAAGTCATTTAAGTTTTTCCCAGAATTTTAAAAATTAAAATTTTGACAGATTTGACTATAATTGATTTCAAAGATCGTCAAGTCTTTAAGAATTAGGTCTTAAAAGGTTCTGCAAAATCTGCTTCAATTCTCACTTAATAAAAAAAGTTTAATTTGGATAGAGAAGGAATTTTCAGTTAATTTTCATGTTTCTCAATTAACTTTCTTAGACATTTAAATGAATCGCGCCTAATTTGACTCATAACAGACTGGTTGTTGAATGTTAATTGTGAAATTTAAATATAATACGAAAAAAATGTGCAAAAATTTAAAAAAAATATAAAAATGATTTTTTTACACTCCCTAAAATGCTATTTTTGAATACAAAAAAAGAAATTCGTATTATAAACTAAAGAAGAGAATAAACGCTGCATAACAACTCTTTTTTAATGTTTCTAATTTTAGTTATTATAATATAGGAAATTGAGAAATAACTCTAATGTTAAGATAAGTATACACATTTAAGATACAGACACGGCATGCAAAACTGAATTTTTTTTTCATCACATTTAACTGAAGACGATCATTAAATAACTTTTTTGATTTAATGAAGACAAAGAAATAATTAAAATAAAAGAAATATAAAATTGTAAGTAAGATGATGATGATAAGGAACTTTTAAATGAAATAATAAAATGTAAGAAATGTATTTTTTGACTTTTTATTTTTTTTTTCAATTCTTGCGACTGTCGTTCATTTTCTTCTTATTTTTCAGAAATAGAAAATAAATCTAAAATCAATAGAATGGCAATTGATAGAAATAGAGCTTTTTAACGAGAACGAGAGCAAAAGGGGGGCTTTAAATTACCGGAACATCAACATTCTGCTCATTTTTCTTTACGTTCGTATTTCATTTCATTTCTATCTTTTTCATTATTTGAAAATGCTACATATTGAATGATAAAAGAAGAAGAACTGAAATTTATTTACAACTTTCTATCTTAAAGGAAGCAATCTGTGAATTTTTACACATCAGGTGATTGTAACGCATTTTTTGCAAACTCAATGTGACATCTGCTTTTTCGCTTTTTTTTACATTTTTCAGGTTCAAGAAGACAATGTTAAAAACTAGCTTTCGACTAAACTTAGGTATTCGTTCCAATTTTCTATAGGTTTTAATTGATACTCAAGATCGGAAACTAGGCGGTATTTAGCGTTATTTCATTTAAAGAGGCGGTATTTGGGGGGATTTGGAGGTATTTGTTGTATAGAAGTTGACGGTATTTTCAAGGTTCGTTCTATTAATTTTCTTATCGAAAAATAGTCAAATCTTGTAGCTTTTGCCCCGATTTTTTTATGGTAAATTTAACGTTTCTGAATTATTCCTTAACTCAACTATGTCCAAAGCTCAAATATCCTCTTGATCTTGTATATAAAGTATCTAGATCAAATTAAAATCTCAATTTAAAAAAAGTAAGTATTCGAACCGACAACCTACGAGTTACCTCTCCAAATTTGAGCCAAGTGTTCATCGACAATCATTAAAAGTCAAATAGAAGTCTACAAACTGACCTCGATAAAGTATAAATATATTGATCTGTGGTAGAGCCTTAACTATCAGTTTATACGACTTTCCATTTATGTCGCTCGGCTATGTTAAGGGATCTGAGTTCTTCATGCAAAATTGATGTGAACTTTCTGATTTAAACTTAATATTTCAAACAAGTCTGAAGAAGGTTTAAAGCCAGATTTCTTAAATAAGTTCAGAAAAGTAAGCCTTGTTATAAAGTTTAATCAATCAATCCAACAATTTAAAATCTCAAATAAACAATTTTAAAAATTAAAGCTTAAAGACAAACAAGCCAAATGTACCCAACACCTTATACTCCATTTTCTAAAAGCTTGTTGAAAAAAAAAACATCAACATCAAGTTGATTTAAGATAAAAAAAAATAAAAGACTTACTTACTCTTACGTAATATAAATACACACACATGAGTGACTGTAAGAAGTTTGGAAATGAAAACAGAACAAGTTCATTTTTTTAAGTCACAAGATATTGACACTTGAAACATGAAATTGTTGAAGCAAATTTTCTTTTCTGCAGATCAACAAAACGTAAAGTGATGAAATGACTTCTGAACTGCATCTGATATTATTTTTGTACACAAGTGTTTCAAATTGGTGTGGAGTATTTTATTGCGAAGTGGATATGCTGGCATTTGCTTTAAATTTTTTGTGAATTTTGGAATTGAAGCTTTTTTTCCATTCACATAGACAGATACACACATATTTTCTTAAATCAATCAATCCATTCGCATGTATGCTTTCTCATCACAACATTAAGTCACATGGGTACAGAGTCATGAATCATGAGAGACTTATGTACACATGACTGTCAGATTTTCAATTTCTACTTCTTATTACATTTTATTTTTTCTGATGTTAAAGGTGAAGAAATAAAATGAAAAAATATCGAGATTAAAATTTCATGTGTAAGCCTGTGATTTAGTAATTTTTCTTTAAGCTTTCGTATCTTCTCCACATACATACCCTCAAATGTAAAACTTTTTTCCTTACCTTTTTTACGCAATCGAAAGTGTAGAGTGGAATATTGATTTACTTTGCATGATATATATTCGCATGAAAAAAATAAAACAAACAAAATTGATATTCACGCAAATGTGTATGTGTAAATTCCCAATAGGAAGGAAGAAAATTTTACTTACTTTCTACGTCTTAAAGGAAATAAATAAGTATGGAAGGTAAGGTAAATAAAACATTAAACATTAAAGATCAATCTTTCTGTTGTTTACAGTATGCCAATAAACTTTTTTTTGTTCTAAACAAGAATAATTCATAGAATGAAGCTCATTTTCTACAACATGTAGGTATGGACCATTCCTCATTGCTCTTGTCTTTCATTGTTTTAGAGTTCCTTTAGAACTGGTTGAACCGAGATGAATTTATGTTTTCTTCTTCAAAAAACAATTATTTACAGGTTTAATAAAGCGACTATGGAGAGTATAGGTTAAGCTTGTTAGGGCAAGGTGAGACTTGTTGAGATGAGATTCTTATAAAGAAACCCGAAATCTCGAATAAATGGTATGAATTTTTTAATTTAAGGATTTATTTTAGGGGCCATTCACTTATTACGTAACGCTTTTAGGGGGAGGGGGGGTCTAAGATTTTGTTACGGTTCAAACAAGGAAATTTTTTTTTCATACAAATTTTGTTACGAGTGGGGGGGGGGGGGGGGGGTATAAGAAGTCATTTTTTCGCGTTACGTAATAAGTGAACAGCCCCTTAGGGAATTTTAATTTGATTTATTAAACCAGTAGGATATTGAACTAGTCTAATATACATATGTGCTAAGTAATAAATTAAAAGAAACTTTTAAAAAACAATAAGAAACCTGAAAACCTACGAATTAGCAGTTATCTAATGCAAAACCAGAATTCTCCAAGTGCTTCCAGTTCCGAGCACTCGTAGCGCCCAGCCAGCCAGCCAAACTGGACCTATAAGCGCATTTTTTTTTAAAGTAGCACTCGTTGAACCACTCGACACAAAATGATCTTCCAATAATTAGTTAAAAAGTCACAGTCATCGCCCATAGCTATTTAAAATAATTCAAAAATCTTAAATTCAATTGAATCAAATCGAGACAAGATTGATCTCAAGAAAAATGACCATCATTCTCGTAAAATGAAATCCAATTGACTGCCTAGATGCTCTATCACAAATTCTTAGTATCAATCTATCTTTCATCAAGAAGACATAAAAATATCCTTAAAAGTTTCATTCCAAAGTCCGAACATAAAAAGTCCTACACACAATCCTACTCCAAAAGACTTGCAGAAATTCGAAAAAGATTCACTATCTGAGAAAGATTTGTTGGCTGTAAATACAGAAAGAAAAGAGAACTTGTACTTTTCACAAACAATTCATCTTCATTCAAGATTTGATAAATTATTGATAACTTGAAGCTCGTTTATAGAAAATCAATAAGCGTCACACATCTGGGTTAGGAAACATGAAGTGTTCCTCTTTATAATGAAAAGATATCAATTGTATGATATTATCTACACAACAAAGAAAAATCAGTTGATTTATATGCTCGAAAGTTTTTCCTCCTCATTGCAATGTGAGTTCCTACATCATTTGTAGAAGGAAAAGGAGAAAAGAAATAAAGGATTTTGATTTCATACAAGTGGTCAAAGATGGAATGTATAAAGATGTGAGATTCTTCATTCTTTTATAAATACGATCCATGGAGAGGCTATCGATTTTTTATTGAAAAACTTTCAAAGACTTCTCTCATACGTATGTGATGATATTTGCAGGGTTTTTATGGATGGGTGAAGCCAATTATAAATATTACATGTACAGTCCGTATTTCTCATTCAATTGAAGATGAAGTAGTGATTTCAAACTTATTCAACCGATGAGAATAGCGGTTTGTCTGGGGTTTGTTCATTCATATGATCGAGTTTTGGATTAAAATAAGGTTTTAAAGGTAGAAAAATATTCTTTTAGACTGTTTACAGTTCATCTTTTACATTATTTAAATATAATGTAAATTAAACTCAACTTTTGATCCCAAATATCTATAGAATGAAGCCTTGTGTCCACCGGATAAGGTTCTTAAAGCACAATTTAATGAATCATTGAAAATAATCCCGAATAGCACAAGTCGGTTAATCGAATAGAAATCTAGTGCTAAGTTGGCATGACTCTGGCATGATGATGGCTTCGATTTAAATCCAGCACCATGCAAGAGTCAGACCGAATTGGTGCCAGATTTTTGATCAATTAAACGACTTGAGCCATTCGGGTGAGCTTAGATCTTAAAAAGAAAACTGATTCAAAGGAACTCCTTTGAATCGTTTAAGAATCGCTTTTACTTAATTAAAAAGTAAGACTTCCTGACTTCCATTTACTATTACTCCTGCATCCATGCACTTTATCATTAAACAAAGGTTTCAGAACTATACAGTCTTATAGCAATATTAATATCATCCTTTAGAAATATGAAGCTTAAGAAATGAAAGATCCTAATATTATTTTTACTAAATTTAATCATAGAAATTTATAAATTTAATTACTTTTAGGTTTGTTTGCAAAAGATATATGCATGCACATCAAGACATTTGATACATAGGCAGGCATTAGGTAATGAAAATTAAATCATTACACAATGTACATGTATCATAACATGATAAATTTCAAAAGCTCCGATACCAAGGATAATAGAATCAATAATTTATTGCATTTTTAATATCAAGCCACAGGTTCATGAACCTTACATTAATGTCATAATGCAGTACGTACCTCCATAATTATGATAAGAAACAAATTTTTTTCCAATTTCGAAAAGACAGACATAAAGCAATTTATGTCTAAATGATCTCAAAACAAGCATATAATGCTGTTCATTTTCTAAACGAGATAATAAAAATTATATAGCTTTCACTTTAATTTTCTTGGCATGAACATGGGATGGAAGAGAAATGAAGAGAGAAGAAATGAGCAAAACATAAGAGACGGAAAAACCCTCAAAAGTATTTATCTGGGAAGTTGTGCCTTACGTGTTGTGAAATATAAATTTTTTTTCGTTTCTCGTTATAGCCGAGAAAAAAACAAGAAATTTTTACGTTTAATACAGCCTCAAAAGGGGTCTTTGATGTATTTTTGGAGA